TTTGAAGGAAAACGGAGTAGAAATGACCAAGTTACAGGCAAAACGCTGAGTGGTTGTGGGTAAACTTATATTTTTATTGTGAGTTGTAATTTAATTCTCATTGAAACTGGTTCTACATGCTGGAGGTGGTGAATATTATCATAGCCAATAGATTTTGATCAGCCTGAAATGGTGGTGTATAATTGGCTAAAATGGAAGTGTCCGAGAATTTGATGTCTTCCGAGAATTCGATGCACTACCTTAACGTAAAAATCCAATTTAAGATAACTTAACCAATTTAGGATAACTTTGTATTGCCCAATCACACCTCGTTATTTGTTCGAGTCAAAACCTCTATCATATAATGCTGGCCATTCCGTCACGTGAATGAAATGCAAAAAAGGCGTAGAAGCCGTCGGGACCAGTCATTCAAGATTGGGTTTGAAGTTCCCTAGTCGACACGGGCCACATTGGGTTGGATCTGAGGTTTTGTCGAGTGTTAAACTCGGTGGACATCAATCCACAACTGAAATTTAACTCTATAAAACAGTACCCTTGTATAAATTATATGCAACCTGTTGTAACCTCTTACCCTAAACACATAATTTCAATGCTCAGACACATACATACTTTAAGATAAAAAAAATTATCCTAAATTGGTTATCAAAATGTGAGTACAAATGCTTAGAAAGTAACAAATTTATCTTTGAAGTTCACCGCCTAAACTGATAGTTCGATTATGAAGTCAAGGAGGCGCGTCTTGTCTATTGGAATCACTATTCAAAACTCAAATATCGTAACGGACTCAAACGTTATGCCCATTCTACTCCGACGCCTCCAAAAAAGTTATCTTAACAGTTAACAGTGGTCGACAGCTGTGAGGGGCCTTTGGCCATAACTTTTTTTTCGAAAAATATGATGAAAATATTTTGATGAAGCGTCTGTAGCGTGAGCTGACGGCTACAATGCACCCATTAAACACTTTCCCCAAATCATAATACTCTCGCCAACACAATGCCCCAAAGTTTCAAATCGAGTCAAATTTCATCCTATTATGCTATAACCTTTTACATTCAATATTTTACGTGCCAATGTGCATCAAAATATTTGGGTAGGCTCACCATTACCAACGCAGGTGCAGACACTGCATCTATCGTGTGACATGATGCCATGGTTGGTGTTGAGAACGTGATGTACTCGACACCACGTTAACAGCACAATCCATGGCATCACGTCCCCCACAGCCAACTGACGCCGATCGCGCCATGACCTATGTCAAGAAATCGCGTCCACGCCACGTCACGCATCATGAGATGCTCGACATGATCTTGGTTAACGCCATGCTACGCCAAAACGATACGCCAAAGGCAAGTCGAACCGCCGCCCGCCTGCTGCGTTGCAAGCCACAGTTAGTCCAAGAGGTATGGAAGATCTTTTTGGAAACCGGTGGCACGGTGACCAAACCTGACCCGAGATGTACATGTCCACTCGCACAAGGCTCCCGATGACGCCCACCATCGTAAGCATCATTCAAGAATTCGTCGGGCTGCGCCGCCAAGATCGTGTCAGGACGGTGGCCAAGGACGTCGCCCATGATGATTCATTGTATGATCCAAGTGATGATTTTGACCTTGAGGTCAAAGAAAAACACAAAGGTGAAAGGTTTTGTTTCATTGCTGCAATTTTGGATAGTGCTTGTATGGATAGCAAGCTTTTGTCTTTAGATATTTTTCAAGGTGGAAAACGTACCGGAAGACCTAAAACAAAGGACTGTCATGGAATGTTTGACCATGTATATTTCGTCAGTTGGTTCTCCAAAGTTATCAAAGAAATGAAAGATCTTGGATTGAGCAATGCTGTTATAGTGATGGACAATGCAAAATATCATAAAGGTCTCCCTGTGGATACACCTAAATATGGACAAAAGAAAAGTGTGCTACAGAGTGCTTGCACAAAGTATGGAATTCCATACGCAAATGAAACGAAGGCTGGGTTGTAGAAAAAACTACGTGTACATGTCGATAAAATTGACATAGAGGTTGTGTCGATGGCCAAAGCTGCTGGCCATCAAGTTGTCTACACTCCTCATTACCATAGTGATCTACAACCTATTGACACTGTATGGGCAATTGTCAAAAGCCAGGTTAACTCTTTCAGATATATTGCGGACACTTCATGAGGAATTGATGTCTGTGTTAACTGTAAGGTTGGACGGCAGTACGACCAAAACACAACCTTTCGGGACGTTCTTGTGAGGCTGAAGCGAGCGTTCTAGGATTTACAGGCAGCCAGCATCAAGGCTGCATCAACAAGGCCGACCGTCAACTCTACAAGCTTGCGGAGTACATCAAGGAGCAGCAAGAGGACGATGCAGTGAAAGCGAAAGTGACAGGGCCAGTGACAGCGACAGCGACAGCGACGAAAGTAGCAGTAATACATCTGAATGAGAGATGTAATCGAATAAGTCACTTCTTATTGGTCAATTTGAATTGTCCAAGTGTTGTGTTCAGAGCACGCAAAAATCCTCAAAAATTGATAAATTTATTGCAGGCCCCCTCACAGCTGTCGACCACTGTAAATTGGTTTTTTACGTTACTGTATTTTCTTCCAATTGTTCAGGTGGACGTTTACTGCTGCATTCACCCCGTGTGATTGGCCAATCCTATGCTAAAAAGATTAGGTACTAACGTTACGTAGTACTTCATTAACGTTATGTACTACTAGTACATTATCAAACTTGAAAAATACGAGGTAATGCCTTTTCGAACGACTTTTTCACCGATGATTCAGAAATGGATTCCCAAGCGCTGATGGTTCTCTCAATCATCTTTCTTCTTTTGGCAGCAGCGGTGACTATCGGGGTCTCTTGAAGCCACCTTGTACGCAGTTTCGTCTTCAATTGGTCCATTACACCGTGCAATCCCCTCAATGGCGGCGCAAATGGAACTGGCGGAAAAAGGGGAGTTCTCGTACGCACGCAGAAGTTTGATTCTGTCCCTGTGGCGCAGCCTTTTTGGATGCGCTGGCGGTGGATGGGTGCTTGCATTTCAAAATTTGAATTCTTGGAGTTCTGAACCAATAGGCGACCGTCATGCACATCACCTTTTGCTATCCAATCAGCAGCTAGGTCATAATCGCAACGACAAACTTGGAAAGGATGAATTAACAGTCATCGAAGAATGGATTCAAGAACCGCCTAAGCCAATCAAATCACGTTCTATTCAATTTCTGCCAATCCAAACGTTTGACTCGACTCTGTCCCTCCATATTGTGCAAACCATATATATCCTAATATTTGTATAGTATAGTTTGTGAAAAATTAACTTGTATCAAATGGATTCGAATATACTCACAAGTCCAAATTTGGGTGAAATGCACAATACTCGTACTATTATAGATTCCACAAGAACTCTGTTACATATTTTTAATATAAAATAAATACCGGTACAGGTATGTCATTGTAGGTTACAGTTAAAAAGATAATATCGAAATATTGCATCAAGTAAACATAAGTTAACATCAATGTTTGTCATAATTAACGATAAACAATGACTATCCAGAAAGTACACGACTTTGTCGTTGAATTGCTCAGCAACGGCATGTCTGGACGAGATACATTTAATATGAAAACTGAGGACATGGATGCGGGCTACATAACTAGTATGGCATGCGACGATTGCACTTACTTTGAAGTATTTAGCATGCATGAAGTGACCTCAAACATGCCAAAAACTGGAATATAGCTTACTTCGGGTGTGATTACTGTATATGCTGCAAAAAGCATCGTAACACCGTCCATGACACTTCATTACGTAGTATCGATGCTGTTGTACACGCTACCATGCTATTGCGTTGATCGGTGACCTCTAAGCCACGAAGCAGCACATTAAAGACAGCGTTTTGGAGTAAACTTCAAATATAGCGTAAAGATGACAAACAATTATTGTCATCTTGAGCTACTAATATACTCCAAGTAATTTATAGCATTAAAGACAGCGTTTTGGATTAAACTTCAAATATAGCGTAAAGATGACAAACAATTATTGTCATCTTGAGCTACTACTGTAATATACTCCAAGTAATTTATAGCATACATTGATATATTATGTTATACTAGTACTACGTAGTAATTTTTTCACATTTACTGTTTGTTAAATGTCATCATTTTAAAAGTTTTGCAACCGTTTTGTGTATGTCCAGCAACTCAGCGCAATCGATTGAGGAAGATGCCAATCCTTCAAAACGGCAATTACTGTAGTGCGCCGCTGCATTCTTCGTTAGGCTGAACACGATTTGATTCTAGCGGGTTGTATGGTGATGATGAACGATTTACTTACTGTACCATATCGATTGAGGATCGAAAAGTTGATCATTTTCCGCAGGCTCCAGCGAAATCACTCACCGAAAATAGAGCAAACAAACTGTCGTTTCAAGTTATGCCGCCAGGAAGCAACAGTCTTGACACACACTAGTGCGGCGAGATGGGTTGGGTATATGTCAGCACGCAGGTCCTCGACTGGCCAACAGGTCAATGTCCAATTGAGTTGGGAAATTCGGTGGCAACGGACTGGGTGCTGGCAGGTGCAGAACAAGGCGTGAATCCAAGTGCACGACAGCAGTGTCGGGGGCAATCGGGATTGGAACCATGGCAGGTAACGCGACCCCATGGTGCATGGCGTGGTGCGCATTGTAGGAGCAATGAACCAACATCGGACGGTCCATCTTAATGCAGAGGATGTACACCACATTCGCAACAGTCGCCCACTGGTTGGCCTTCCAATCCAGTTGATCCCACGACTGGAACCAACCCACTTCGAACTTGACAGTGTGGAAATCATTCCAAATGACACCCGGTGGTAACTGAACGTTGTAGGGGGGTTGCTCAAGGACTCGACGAGGCATAAGACACAAATCTGGCTCAAGGCGGCGGATGTTGGTCTGGTATGCGGCTCCAGCAATGCGCAAAAAGCGTAATCCATTGTTGGTAGCACCATTAACAGCAAAAATCAGTAGAGCGATATATCCTTCACGAGGTGCACATGACAGTTCCACGATGAAAATCTTCCCATCCATCCATTCCGTGTGTTTGGACTTGAGCTGCTGGTCTTCGGTCGTCACATATGCTTTCCATTCACTCAGGGTCGCATCTCGCAAGAAGTACGCTTTTCCCTTTTGGAGCTCATTGTCCACGAGGTCCTAACGTGACCGATCAGTGATCCGCCAAAATTTGGATTTTTTCCTTCTTGAATTACTCAGCGGCTATTTGTGCTAGAACAGATGGACACACATTCTGATAGCCAATTTCAAGTGCTTTCACAAGGATTCAAAACCGATCAGATCTGACAGTTCATGTTTCTCCAATTAATTTAGAAAGTTGAGCTATTTACACAGTCGATCAGTGATCCGCCAAAATATATACTTGAAGTGAGTATTGAATTCAGTTTAACAAAATCCAAAATCTTTAGCTGAAAATATAATATGATAAAGGTATATTAGTTTTAGAAATGTACGAAGTTTTGAAGTATTGACAGGTTGGAGTGTTGGACAATTCGTGCATAATTTCTCACGAGGTCGATATTGTAAGAGGTTTTGTTTTGTCCAATACAATTCGAGAAACCATGTTATTGGATAAAAAAGTTTGGCGGATCATACTGGTCAGTTGGCGGATCACTGATCGGTCACGTTAGTCGAGAAGCTTGATCGTCTGGTTGATTGAATGAATGGCCAACAACTCAAGTGGGGTCGGTTCTGGGATGGCTGTCATTGGTGCTGGAGCTACCATGATATGGCTGAAAGATCGTCACGTTGCGGGCGAAAGGGCAAAATAGAATATGGATGCGGAATGGAATGAGTTGAAAAACCTCTCGAATAATAATAAGAAATGTATACGAAGCGCGTCTGGGAACAGTAACAATTGGAGGATAAAATGGAATTTTGTAAGGCTGCGTCTGATATTGTGAATTCCGGTGAAATTTGCCGTTTTGGGGGTGGTGGATAGCGTTTTGAACTTGTCTAAACCATAGATATGAGTCGACGTGAATCCTCTACGATCCTACACCTTGTAGCTCGAGTTGTTCTACGGTCTAGCCGAAAACTTTGATGCCATGGAAGTTAGAGAATGATGAACCATCGCTGT